TAATTGCAATAGTAATTTCGTGATCTTAATAAAGTACTAGCGTGACTGCTTATATTGGCAAAAAAAAAAAAAAAAAATTAGGTTTTGATTATACTTATATAAAAGTTTATAATATTACAAAATAGATTTTAGCATAGTATATTATAAAGTAGTATTAGTAGTTATATAGATATTTATTATTATATTTTATATATTATATTATATTTATTATTAGTTATTAGTTAGTTGATAGTTATATTATATAATAAATAGATAAAAGGATCTTAATTGGCTATTAGAAATGTAGTATAGCCACATGATACTAAGTAATATCTGTAATATTACTATAATCTTACAAATTTCAAGTATCCTTATACAAGTTTCATGTATTCTAGCACCAAATTACTATGCCAAATACTATAATACAAGAATCCCAAATATCTTTAACACAAACTCCAAGTATCTTTATATGAATTCTAAGTATTCTTGTACAAATTTCAAGTGCCTTTGCACAGATCCAAATGCCTAAATACAAGTTTTAAGTTTTTTAAACATAAATAACAAATAATATAGACAATATCTTCAGTTGTCTCTACATAATTCCTATTACTCCAAGCACAGTATTATTTAATATTGTTTAAACTTTTACTGTTCCAAGTACAATAATATCTAGTTGTTTGAACTTCCATTATCCCAAATATAGTACTAAGTAATGTTACTTGAATCCCCACTATCTCTATTAAATAAAAAGATATATAAAGTATACCTTTTCTCTTCTCTGCCAATTCTAAGTTTCTATATTTCAACCTAGACATAATAACCTTTTAATTATAAAGTATGATATTTCTCTTTTAGAGTAATTTCTACAGACAAGGTTGTTACTATGTGTGTTTATTTAATAAAATTAATTTATATACTATTATTATCTTGAACTATTTGCCTGTTACTGTATAGTAAAGTAAACTACTACACCTCTACTCTGTATATATTTGCAATAGTCAATTACTATACTGGATGATCTTATTATTTAATTGTATTGTACCAAGAAGACTACAACTTTATAACAATAATGAACAAGACTAGGATCAACCAACTAATATGAGATAAGATCTACAAGGTAGTATGACATTACTAGAGTTAATATAACTCTCTGAGTATAACTAGAATTGTCTTGTAAATATTATTGAATAAGCTAAGAACTTGTAATATATAGTAGTATAATATCATTAGAATCAAAAGAATTTTTTAGATATAATTAGAATTGTCCTATTTATAAGTGCAATAAATCTTAGTCTCTATCATAAAAGAAAACATCTTATTTGGAAATTAAATATAATACTAAGCTACTATATAATGTTAAGATCTGAGGCATTTATAAAAATAATGACAACAGACCTGACTTGAGATACAGATTGGTCAAAAGATTAATGATAATAGCAGAACTAATTTAAGATACAGATTTGTTGTGGATTTTAAACTATTGTTAAAATATCTTAGAAAAATTAATAACAAACATATTAAAGATAAAAAATCCAAAGGATTAAATATACTCAAGTAGGACCAATTTGAAAATAGTACAGTAACAAAAATATAAAAAATGTAAGAAACAAGATATTATTAAATATAGTTAGATTAAGAGACAAAAGAAACAAGATTAGATAAAATATATAAATAGAATATATAGATAAGATTATAGAAGATAATATCTTTGATATTTAGAATATGCATTAAGTTTGTTAGATATCCTTGTCTGTGTAATAGTTTAATGATATGTCTTGATCACAAATGATTGTTAAGATAACTGCATGCAAACATATGACAAACATGCACTTAGATGTCATATAGGTAATAGAGTAAAGTTAGTAATATAAAATTAGGTAGCAAAATTTAGTACTAGTAATTTAATCCTAAACATGTAACTATAAAATTTGTACTATATTAAATTAAACTTAATAAACTAACTGGCAGTATTGCCAAAGTTAAAAAAAAAAAATTTATAACATTAATAATTTAAATAACCAAAAAGACCCATGAGTTAATAGCATAGAGGTTATGCTTTCAGGTTCCAATCACAAGGTCGCTGGTTTGAGTTATACTAGAGGATGACAGCCATGCCAGGATCATGATTGAAAATAACTACAAACCTGCTAAAGGCATACTTTATTAAAGAAAAAACAAGGATACTTTTGGTGAAATTCTGGTCAAAATCAAGAAACCCCAGAAATGGATACTTCCAGTGGAATTCCAGATGAAAGTTTAGAATACTACTGGTGAAATTCCAGTTGCAAACAATTAGGACTATAATAGTTAACATGAATATATATAGTTAAATAATTAACTCATGTAAATTCTTAAATGTAGGGGATCTTACAAATTTAGAAAACCCCATTAATTGAATGAGTTAATAAATAAATTGAACGCCACTGGCATTCTGCGGTAATCATGCCAAGGGTTAAATCAAAAAAAAAAATAACCAAAAACTAAGTAATTCAGATAATGATACGTATGCTTGAAGAAGTTAATCTTGCAAATTTTTTTAATATGTTAGATGATGGTAAGTATGATGAATTTGATTACTCAATTACTACTTAAAAAATTTTTTATTTCTTATATTTTTACTGTATTTTCTGAAATTATTTGTTTTTTATTTTGTTTATCATTTAGAATTCTTTGCTTACTTTTCTAACTGTCTAATTTTTCATGAAGTAAAAATAATTGTAAAAAAAAATTAATATGTTTGCAAAATCTTCATATCATGTAATTCTTGCAGCATTAAATCTATATATTTGTAACTTGTATTAGAGTCATGTAACTTACATCAATCTCTAATGGGCCGCGATTTCATTAGTAAAATTTGGCCTAAATTTTTGATCGCCGCCGTTGGCCAATCAAAATCGAGGCACTATGCTTAATTGTCACATATTGCATTGAGTTTGTATTAAAATCGGTATGTCATTATTTTTTTCGACATTTCGCAACACTCTTACGGACGTTTCTATTCCCCTTCTTCCTTATGTATACCTTTCACAAGTTTCTTATGCAAAAGCACTTGATCTACAAAAACTCTTGGTTCGACGTCGACTTGAAAATAAAAATTCTTCAGATTTGCTTTTATTACTGCAACATCCTCCAACTTATACAACTGGAAGAAGAAATATGGGAAAAACCATGAATGAAGAAGCAGCTTATTTAAAGAATTTAGGTGCTCAATATTTTGAAGTAAGTTCATTTTTGGGGTTCTCTTTTGAGTGCCGCCAAGGGAAAGAGCACCTCGGCAATTTAAATATATTACTGATTATTATCGAGTTCAGCAACGATGCGGATCGGGCTTTCAATAACGTTAATGTAAAATGTAAAAATTTAGCATGAATCACGTTATATAATTTAAATCTCAATAATTAATCAGTAATATATTTAAATTACCGAGGTGCCCTTTTCCCTTGACGGCACTCGTTTTTGTTTTAATTGGTTTGCAACTTAATTTAAGGCGTAGACATTACGCGGCGGTCAAACAACCTTTCATGGACCTGGTCAATTAGTTGGTTATCCAATTTTGGATTTAAGAAATTTTAAGGTACGTCTATATGCGTTAATTTCTTTTTATTTTTATATGTACTTTATTGTGTCTAATTTTCTAAATGCTTCTTATGTCAAGCTTTCTGTACGATGTTATGTTGCAACCATCGAGCGCGTAATTATCAATACATGTGCTGCATACGGCGTTGCCACATCTGCTACTAAAAATACTGGCGTTTGGGCTGGAGACGATAAGATTTGTGCAATTGGTAGGACTTTTTAAGTATAATTTATTATTTGAGTAGTTATTCACAGAAGTTTTTAATAATTAGGAATTCAAGTACAACGTTTTGTCACCTCTCATGGATTTGCACTTAATTGTAACACCGACCTTAACTGGTTTGATCATATTACACCTTGTGGACTTAAAGATAAAAAAATGACATCTCTAACTAAGGAGTTTAATAAACAAGGAAGGAAAACGACCATCACTGTTGAGCAAATCATTCCAACTTTGTGCCAACATTTTGGTTATGTTTTTGGTCGGTCTTTAAAGCCATTGAAGGATATCAACAATGAATCTGATAGAAGCTTAATGCAAATAATAGATAAGTTTCTAGTGGCATAGATTAGAGTTTAGAACCGGGTTATAGTAAACTGGGTAACTCGTATCAAAACGGTTCAACAGGGTCCAATTGGTTGAATATGTAACCTCTAAAATCTGTTACTATTATACAGAAAAAAAATTCAACACATTATTATTGTATGTATTGTGAAAATAAACACACTATTTTTTCTTACTAATTTATCTAAATGTTCAATCTCGCTAATCTGGATTTAAACAAAAGGTACGACTATCTATTGCGAAAATTTTGGCTAAAAATTTTCCTTTGTAATACATTGTGTGGTTCGATAGTACCCCCGGTAATTCGTAGCGCCGGGGTTCGGGTAACGTAACGTGATTGTGTTGCATGAGCATAAAATTGATTAAATTAAAATTAAAATACACTTTTACCCCATTAATAATAATAAAAGAACAGGGTGAAATCTGAGTTGCGAAATAGTGAAATCCGCTGGTGAAATTCGCGTTTTATTATTTTTCGCAACTCAGGTTTCACCCTGTCGTATAATAAATTATTACAAATAATAGTAAATTATTACGTAATTATGAAATGTTACTTTATTACATAGTTTGTAGTTAAAAGTTATGGCTACATTTTGCGTAATGATTTCTAGCTTATTTGAGTGCTGGCAGGGGAAAACCTGTATCGGCTTTCAATTATATTTTGTAGTTTGTTTCAAGAGTGCCGTCTAGAGAAAATCTATCATCGGGTTTTTAATTATATTTGTAAGATATAATTGATGATAGACTTTTCCAAGATGGCATTTGATGGTATTCTAGGAATAAACTGGGCAAAGAATATAATTGAAAGCCCGATGACAGGTTTTCCCTTGGTAACACTCATTTGGGCCTAATAGAAAAACTACATAAAGGGTCAATAGGGATAGATCTCTTTTGAACTTTTAATAGTACCTCCAATAGTCATTGTACCCTCTGTTGCTATGCTTACGATCTGAGCTGTGTATTGATTTGAGCTCTCCCCATCATAACCAACGTACCGTATAGTGCCGCATATCTATATAGTACCCGGGGTGACACGATTTTTTTAAATAGTGAATTGATCATTTATGGTTGGATGAATGTTGTGATACTTCAGTCAAGTATATAATAGCCAAGAAACTAAAATGCTAGTAAAAGTCGGATTGCACACGTGGAGTTAGAAAACTTTCGTATTCCAGATCGACCACATATCCCAATACTGGATAAAGTAACAACTTTATTCGAGATTATTCGACAATAACGATATAAAACCTGCAACGAGTGCACCATCATTCCTAAGTTTATGTCTGTGCCCTGCGCTAAAGTCTCTTCACGTTTGTATTTATACTAATTGATTTTTGTACAGTACATCAAATTTCGTATAACTTCAACCAATATTAATACGAATGACTTCATGCGATAAGTTACAGCTGCCATTTTTTTTTCATGCTTTGTCGGATCTCGGATTCGAATTGAATCATTTTTTTTTATTTTTCGATAATATTGAGTCGAAATTCACGTAAAATTAAAAAAAATAGTCATCCATAATTCCCGCCGTCAATATTATTCAACCCGTTTTCAGCCGTTCGCCGATTTCAGATTATACAGGTTATCCGGGTGACAATTTTGCATCCGAAACTCTAGTTATAATTATCCAGAGTTTTATTTTAACCTCGATTCTAATATCTTGTTATTAGTGCTCATTTGATTCTTCAAATCTATTTCATAGATTTGAAGAATTAAATAGGCCTAATAACAAGATATTAGAATCGAGGTTAAAATAAAACTCTGGATAATTATAACTTTACTGATAAAACCACTTAAAAATATATATATAATCAGACTAGAGTTGTGACCCGAAACCTTTTCCGAAACTCTAATACTATACTGAAAGGCTTAGAAATTTAATTTTAGGCTTTAAGACATAAAGTACATGATAATTAGATTGCATTTTAGACATGTTTTGGTTACTTTTTAGTAAATGTGCAGTAGTTATAAACATTCTAATTTGAAGGTTCCGAAAAGGTTTCTGGTTTTGGGTCACAACTCTGAATCAGAATCAACCAAAAAAATCGTGAGTTTTTTTTTAAAAAAAAGTCTATAAGGAGTTGTACTTATATAGAGAATTTTGTATTATAGGTAATATCGTCACTTCTGATACATCACATTTTATTAAATAAATTAAAAAGCTTATTAATAATATTAAATC